CACTACCACCGTCTGTGCATCCTCACCGCCACGCTGAGCCAGCGCGGCGGTGAGTTGCACCTTGGGACACCACCCGCCTACTATCTGTTGTGTCCTGGTTCGCCCGCGAGGGACTCACTAGGTCGATTTCGGCCCCGGCCGGGGAGCAGGCCGAGGAGGAGGAGGTGGAACGAGAGTGAGTAGCCGGGATTCGAACCCGTGGGTGAAACTTTTGTCGCCAATTGTTAAACCATTTGTCTAGTCAGCGCTGACTAAGTAGTCTAATGGGTAAGCCTTTAACTATCGAAGGATACACGCACAGGTTCAAATCCCGGGCTGATCACTTTACGAAAAAGCACCATAGTTCTCCGCTGACGCCAAGTTTAAAAGAAAGCCCGCCCGACGGTGGCTTGCCTCCTAGATGTAGTAGATGTAGATTCTGCCGTTGACACTCTTGTCCACGAGCACGTTGAGATGGGAAGGTTGCTTGTTATTGCAGAAGCGGGTCTGCTACAGGTCTGAGGTGAGGCGGATTGCCCTCAACCTGGGGGCACGCAGATAGCTAAGTCCCGATGGGGTACGTCCTAAGAGGTTATACCTCCTGACGTCCCCCATCTCAATCTAGACCGACTGTGTACCCTATCTGTGCCATATACAGCAACACTCCTTAACATATGTCTGCATTTTTTATCTGCAATTAATTGTCGGAGGGCAAACAAAATAATAATATCATTTATAACAGGCGGCGCGAGGTTGGGAGGGGAGGAAGGCGGCGCGCGACCGGATCAGAACCAACCCATGTACGTCTAACAAATACCGTGTACGACACAAGACAACACACCTTGGGCTGATTTTCAAAGCTCGATATATCAACCGCAGAAAGTTCGACGGCGCCGGAAACGCGGCATTGAAGCCATCTGGTCGAGAGCTCTTCGAAAACGTATGGTTTCGGTTATGCACGCTCGGTTTCATGGAGTAGTCGATCTTTGTAAATTGGTCCAGGGGGTGTGTTATCTTGTGTCGCATACGGTAGTGACGGCCAGCATGCAGGGGAGAGGTGCATCACAAGTTGATATGCCCGGATTTGGATCCTCACGAACGTTTCTGTTTGTTCATTTTTCTACGCCGAGGGCCTCATTCAGAAGTCGTTTTTTTTTTCTGGGTGGATTCAGCCTGACACTTGAGCATAAAGTGTTCATATATGCATAAAGCAAGGCATAATTTTTGAACGTCGCTCAACAGAGACCTCTGGAATCGACATATATACAGACAGACGCGGTATCGCCTGAAACAATGTCGCATCTGAGCAAACACGTTGAACTATTTAGAGTCACTCGCGGCGTGATTGTCCTCCCGGACCTATCTACTAAGAGTGTATTTTATCGGCAGAATCGAAGTAATATATCAGAATCGAGTTTCAGTTTAAGACTAGAAAGAGCCAGCGTCCATCTGCTCTGATTGGTTGGAATGCGTTCTTTCGGGATAAGCGAACGGAGCTTCTTGTTCTTCAGACTTGATCTCGACAAAATGGCCAGACAGAGGGTTAATTTGGAGTTGGCTTTTGCCAAACGCAACCAACTTCGGATGGACGTTGGGCTGTTGGGAGCGTGCTGCGGCGATTGACGTTTTTCATCTCGCACGCTGCACACCCACGTGCGCGCGGATTGCACACAATACACCACGCACGCCCACCAAGCAAGCAGAAAGAAAGATGATGTCACAGAAGGCGAACGGCGACGGCAGGTTCAACTGGCTTGCGCCGAGCAATGGAGTCGGGATTCATGTGCCACCCGTGCCATCGGTGGGTTGGGGTACATCACCAGCTCCAGGAGCTGCCTCATACGCTTCTTCGTTTTCCCTCGCTGCCACGAGCGGCTGCCCGCACGGCGGGGAGGAGAGCGAGCCATGTGCGAGTGCTGTGCAAAAGGACAAACCGTCGCCCGCAGGTCGCCCACGCCGCTTGTCGGACTGTTGGGCTGTTCGGCGTCCGTTCGGGCGTGTTCTCGATTTGAACCTCAGTTGTGCTGAGTTTTCGATAAGACGCGTGGGTCGAATTTCGCTGGCTCTTTCTAGACTTGAACTGAAACTCGATTTTTTATTTACTTCTGATTTTTAGTTTCGATCTCTTCGATTCTGCCGATAAGACACACGCCATCGTCTCTCGCTCGCCGGAGAGTCTCGAGAAGATGATGTCGGTCATAGTGCGCGTGGCCGGCCTGTTCGGACTGATGGTATCGGAGTCAAAGACGGAGATCATGTGCATGCTGCCGAAAGTGATCGAGGAACGCCCGTTCACGGTCAGCGCCGCCGGCCAGACGTACAAGCAGACATATCGGTTTGTGTACCTCGGATGTACCATCTCCGCGGACGGGAAGGCCGACCGGGAGATCACGAGCCGCCGCTGCCGAGCGTGGAAGTGCTACCGCCGGAACGGTGCTTCGATGTACGACAGGCGACGGGCCAACCGCCAGCTCAAGATCCGGCTACTCCAGGTTGAAGTGGTGGAGACTCTCCTGTATGGGTGCGCCTCATGGAGCCTAACAGCGGAGCACTACACGAAGCTCAATGGGACCAACCGTCAGTACGTAACACAGTTCCTTACTTACACGGTGCATCGGCTGGAGCAAGCGGAAACGCTGAGACCGCCCCCTGTCCTATTCCCAGCCAGGCCCTCATCCAGGCAGGCTGAGAGGAACCATCGAGGCCACCGTGCGCAAACGGAGACTGCAGTTGTAGATCTAGTCTACCCGCCTTACTGGTGCTTTTTCAACGTACGATGGTCTTGGCCAACGCAGCAATCGACTAGTATTCGAAGAGCTTTTCAGGGGGTATTTCGACAAATGAACAGTCTTGCTTCGGGTGCCCTACATTATTCGTTGATTCCATGGAATGCCATGGAATATTCCATGGAATGCCATGGACCCCCATGGACCTCCACGGATGCCATGGAATGCCATAGACTATTCCGTAGAGTTCCATGGACCTCCATGGACGTCCACGGAATATTCCATGAAATACCATGGAGTTCCACCGAGTTCCATGGAATATCAAGGACATTCCATGGTGTTCCACGGATTCCGTGGAACTCCATGGCATTCCGTTGCACTCTATGGGGCTCTATAGACTCTCCATGGAGTTCCGTGGCGGTGGAGTCCACGGAATATTCCGTGGAGTTTGCCACGGAACTTGCCGTGGAATTTTCCATAGAGTATTCTGTGGAGTTCCATAGCTCGCGATGGTTTCCAGGGAATACCATCGAACTCCATGGAATCTCCGTGGTATTCCATGGAATTCCATTGAAATTCCGTGGAGTAACATAACAATACAACATTCATAAAAAACGTGTAGAAAACCAGGGAAAAAAGGAGAAAAGCTAGTGCGGAAGAGAGACTCGACTCGGAGGCTTCGATAGCAGATGGCCGCGTTTCACCGGCATTTATTTATGATGAGCCGCGGAGCGAGCGAAGCGAGCGACATTTTTTCCCTTCGTCCCCAGGAGGAAAAAAAAAGGCTCTACATATCGGCCAAAGTCAAAGTTGCGCCGCGCGATACGGGGGCCCCAAAACTTGGTTTCCGGGAAGCCTATTTAGCACACCTTTGGAACCAGAACGAGATCTAAAGGGCACCGATTGACGATCTGCTCGCTTTTGAGGAAGAAGAAAAATAGCGCGCTCTTCTCCACACCGGTTTCGTCGTGCTCCAAGAGCAGATGACCTTACTTCACCGGCATATGTAGCCTATATTCGTAGGAGATTGTGCTCCCAACCCCGGGGTTTCAATGCGAAAAGGCGTGCACAGAAGCGGAGATCACGGGCGCGCGCGATTCAGACCAGGACAAGAAACACCGACAGAGACGCAAGAACACCACCAACGAACGCATCACCGCTGAGACGCTGGTCTGAGACCAGCTTTGAAAACCAGGAAGGGCCGGGCCAATACGACCTGTGCACCGTGGGTATACTGTAGGAATGCGTCATGTGTAACCTGGCGGGTACTTACTGATGTTGATTGGGTCCACTCAACTACAGACCAATGATCACACAAAAAACACACCTTCTGATGTCCAGATCACACCTACCATCATCGAGAGAATCCGTCGAGGGCGTGAAAGTCTACTACTGCTGCTGCTGTGCGTTATGAGGATGGTTCCCCGCGGGATCGTTTCAGATTGCGTACCAGCGCCGCGCTAATGACTGTTTTCGCAAAGAATGCCGTGCCCTGCACGCTGTTGTTGCTGCTGCAGCCCTGCATGGCCTCTCGGCCTCTCGCATCAAAGTCATGACGTCATATGACCATCACGGGTTTTGGGTGTTTTTGGTTCATGCTGGACTGCTTGCTTTCACTTGGGCGGGAAACTCGGAAGGCTTGAGGCGAATGTGGCGGGCAAGTTGTGAGCCTGACGCAATTTCAGCCATCTCTCGTATCACAATGCTATGTCGACGCTGCTGGTCGTGTTCCTCGACGGCGTGATGTATGTGTGATACGCTTGCCGCCAGGGGGATGCCGCATGTATGCTTCGTCCAGATGCCCAGATGTACGTCGTACGTGTGTGTTTTTGCGTCCGCACGGCGGGAAGATTTCGCATTTTGTTTCTTAGCGTATGTGCATCAAAACGGAAAGAAAAACCGCATGTACACTCCCTTCTTCCCTCGCTCCTCGACAAGCTTTTGCTTAGACATGGGTTGTAGTTTCGGGTGATTGTCCATTGCAATCATGGCTTTGGTTGGTTGTTCTTTTTCACTGTACGTCCGCAGACACATTCTGACAGCACTTCAGACAGCAGCTTTGTGCCCCGCCAGCTTCTTGTTCCATGCCTAACAAACATGGTGTTTTTGTACAGACAGCACTTCAGACAGCAAGTAAGTATGCTGAATCATTCGTTTTGGTACAGAGTGGGACAGGTAGGGGGTGATGTTGCTGTAGTCGAACGGTGAGACGGACGTGTAGTTCAGTTTTGGGCACGCGTACGGTGCTGCAGGGATTATATATAGGTGTAGTAGTACCTCTTCGGGCTCTTGGATACCTTTTTCTTGCTACGTGTGCGTGTTCTTTAGATCCTCAGATGGCTCTAGCACTTTCGTGACCACGGGCTGAGAGTCTTTGCTAGATTTTGGCATTTAGCAACTGGCATACGGTTTAATGTGAAGTCAACAACAACAACAACAACAACAACAACGTGCAAAATTTTGAACGGTGGCCGTATACAACTCTCCCCGGCCTGCCCCCCCCGTCCCTGGGGTACGCCGAGGTTCCGCAAGTGGATCTAGACCTCGAAAGACCACCCAGCAACGACGGATATACAGTCCCTAGCACTGTTTAGAGGGGGATCCTGAGTTTGGCGGTTGGGAGTTACTGCTGTCATGAGATCGGGGTAGCCCCTGAGCCGCCAGCTTTGGTGGCTGCAAAATGAGACTGGATCCTGACGCCCCGGCTTGGACACCGGGGCTATGCAGCAGCAGAGAGCACGGTGAGGGTGGCGGAGTGGCCGCACGCCGTGGGGGTGTGCCCCAGAGAGAGGAAAGGAGAGAGTCCATAAATGGAGGGCCACACCGCTCCGGGAAAAGAAGGCAACTCTATGAGAAACAAGGCAAGAACCGGGGTGCCTATCACGTTAGCCCGAGTGTTCGCAAGAAAATGGTAAAAAAACAAAGAGGGGAAGATGGAGGAAAAGGAGGGGTCGGGCGGCTAGCTAAGAGAGCAGCGCGCGCAGCGCGAAAGAGACAGCAGGGTCAACTTCTTAGGGTAGCAACCTGGAATGTGCAGACTTTGGCTGTAAACGGGGCCAATGGATACGGGTGAGCTTACANGGGGATAGCCGTCAAAGAGTCACTGTGCAAGACATCCACGTTCACTACGGAGTTTATCGACGAACGCCTTATGGCCATGAGGTTTCTGTTGGTAGGTCACCGTGGAGCGGTCAACTTCGAACCCGCGTATGCTCCAACCGAACCTTCAACCGCCGACAGCAAGCGCGTGTTCTGGGAATAACTTGACAGTCTCGTGCGGAGGATCGCTTCCAAAGAATGTGTGTATTGTTCGTGTGTCTGGATACAAGCATGGTAGATCTGCTAGCAGCACGGGGGGGTACGTAGACAGGAGCATGCGTATGCCTGAAAAAGGCTACTATGTGTGGGCCCCCTTCCCCGAATTCGGGAGGGCCACTTCTTCCCTTCCTTTCCTCGCTCCCGCGGGTGCCTAATCAGAGAGAGTTAAAGCGTGTCTTCTCCTCCCAAGTACGGACATACCAACACACTAGTGTTTATTCCCTCGAGGGAGTCCATTAGGGATGGCGGGCCGCAGAACCGGAGGGACCACTCCGGACGGCTCGCAGGCAGGAGACACAAATAGCAGCGAGCAGATCGACAGCATGCGGTCTGAGATCAGTTCGCTGACACAGCAAATGGGCCAGCTGGTGCAGCTGGTCGGAGGACTTGCTGCACGTATAGAGGGGAAGTCCGGCGGTGCCACGGAGGGCGCTGCTGAAAGCGGCGGCGCCGTGGAGAGCGTCGCCACAAGCACTGCAGGTCATTTTGGGACCGTGCAGTACGACGGGAGCGCGCAGGCAGCG